GACATTCTAGGTATTTTCAAAATAAAAGGCTATATTCTAGATCATATTGTGTGATTATTAGCTGGTTTATTGCTAGACACCTCATTGTTATTGAAAAGAGAATCAACTGTACTCCGTAGATCAAATTCGTTGATCGCGCGATCGTTTTGTTGCACATCGTGTTTTAGACGCGCTTCATTTCACGCGATAAGTAGAAGAATGACAAAAGTAATTTTATTATTCGTTTATCGAAGAATTTGAACTACTCTTGATCCCAACATGGAAGAATTTCTAACACTGCACTCAAAGTTTACCCTGTACGATATTAGACAAGAATTCAACGAGTGTGATGAAAGGATGAGGCAGGATTCAACGAGGATGAAAGGATACAACGAGACTATTTTGGAAAGGATGAGGCAGCGTGAGGTTCTCTACACATCGTGGTAGAGGTAAAGGACGTTGGAAGCAATTAAGACGAAAAAAAAACTGTCAAAAACTAGAAAGGAAAGGAAACCTTTAATTCCTAACAGCGGCAGCAGCGGTGAGACGACGTGAGCGCCAGCAGCGTAGCCCTAGGGCGCTTGACTTCACCAGCCCATTGTTCTTCGCGACGTTTTTGTTCTTGTCGAGAAACACCGGCTGGTGTCTATGACCCTGTTTCATTCCCGACTCTTCATTAACAGCCATTAAGACTTTAGCTTCCTTTTTATTGTAAAACAATTTAATTTACTATGAATGGATTAGTTTAACGAATTTAGAAACTTAAATCTTTCAGCGAAGTTGTAACTGCAGTTTCGCATATAGGTAGTTCTAACTAACATTTTATCAATAACTGAATTGTCTCTTCTTTAAACAAATTATAATCCGATGGTTCGTAAATATTGTTGAAAAAGAATTTAATTAGAAGTTGTTAATAAGAAGAGATAGAACTTTATGAAACATGACTCAACTATCGGCATGTATTATGGCGGTAGCTGATCATTATAAGATTCGATAAAACAATTTGGTTCATAGTTCAAGATAAGCAATCTGCATGTGTCAATTAAGGCAGATATGAAGCCCTGAACATACAAAATTGACGGGTGGTAATTATGCCCTGAATAACAGCTCGCTTTCAACAAACATATCAATGAGCTAGCTAACAAACTTCCACGAAGATAGACAGTCTGTTTACCTTTTAACAGCTAAATTTCGTGTACGGAGTTAGAAACGCACAATGTTCATTAATAACAAAACTATGTGAGCTTTAACAAACCTGAGCAATTTCTCATAAATACTCTTCCAACAGTTAATGTCTTAAATTTTTCAAAAAAATAACGAAATAATATTCATGTTCGTTTTTAAATTCTAAATCATCAATCATTTCTGCATAACTATACGGTATTTGAATAAGACACACAAATACAGTTTAGTTAGTAAATATGAGTGACTAATCACAGTGAGTGGTGTTTGGAATTATTAGGAGCGATTTAAAAATTCGAGAACACCTCGTGTCCCTGAGAGATATGAGCCGAAAAAGTCTAACTCAGTCTGGCAACGACCTTCCCTTTAAGGTTATCCCGAGATCTGCACAACTGCTTACAGATCAAGCAACTCAAGCCGCATTCCCCAGCATTAGAGTTTGGCATTAAAAATGAGTCTAATGAGTGACACCAAAGAAGACATTTACAATCAAGATATGTTTAAAAATTATAAAAAACTATGAAAAATAGGAAGTTTTTCAGAATATGGTAAATTAATACTTTAAATTAAAGCAAACATTACGAAGAGTTTATGTTAATAACCAACCCCACACCCAGCCCTCCGCAATGCCAATGGCTCTCGAGTCCATAACTGCATGCACGGGTCAGAAGATCACAGACATTTTTTAGCTGCTGATAGTTCACCTGAAACTAATATCGTATTGATGTTTGTAATCAAAACTAGTTTATTCTCAATTGAATACGATTGTCCATGTTATTATTTTTATATTTATTTTATCATCTGACAACCTCCTAATGTTAGATTTTACCATGGAAAACTTCATTGACTATATAGTAGACGGGTTAAAATACCATCACGATACGAAGTAACACTACTCTAGGCCAGTTATTAGTTCTGGAATAACATTGTTATTAATAAAGGAATAAGATTGAGAATAAAACTGTAATAACCCGAAAATAGAAATAATATAGTAATTAATACTAGAATATTCACGCAATAACGTGTTTCCAAACAGGACTGGATTACTGCTGGTGCGAGTGGATATGAAGAGGCTGCAGCAGAGCAGGCTGGAGCTGCATATCCATGTGTGGTGAAACCTTCCCTTGTAAGGCTATCCACGACGCCCACGCGGCGGCTGAGCCGCTGCACCAACCAGGGCCACATACCCAATAATGCTTGATGCTTCACCACATCATCAAACCAAATCATCATCTTAAGTCAATGCTTCACCACATCATCAAACCAAATCATCATCTTAAGTCCATGCATCACCACATCATCGAACCAAATCATCATCTTAAGTTCATCAGCTAACGCCAATTCAGGTCTAAGCTGAACCAGATGATCGCAAAACTTTGGTTTGTGAAGATAAGCAACATCTAGACGCATACATACACGTAGATATATACTTGTGTCTTTTACTAGTCGTGTACAGTAGCCAACGACACTCACGCCTCGTCACGCACACTGTAATTCGTAATGCTGTCCGCCAAAATGGCAGATGCACAGTCGTACAGGCACAACAAAGCAGCAATTAAATGATAATTAATTAATTAATTATCATTAATTAATTAATTAGCAAATAATTAATGTCCACCAACAAAAAGCAGACGCATACGGAAAGCATATATAGCCTGGACGGCGAGCGAGAGAAAGCTGTCCCCTGGATGCGGTTGCCTGCAAGCAGAGTTTACTCGTAGACCGACGTCACGAGTCACGTCTCAACGCCGCGCATCGTTGCCTCATACAAGAATAACAACAGCATAATATAAAACTGAAAGCAATTGAAATGAAAAACGAAGAACAGGCATATATTTTGCTAAACATTTTTTTGGGTGTTGAATGAATGCAGCCCTTTCAAGTGCCGTGCGAAATCTCAAAAGAACAAATTCACTTATTAACACGATCGAGGAGACTAAACGATTTACAGTTAAACAATGAAACGTCTGAATTATTGTTCATATATTGAAAATTGACAACATACTGAGTAAACACGATCGATTAAAGTAAATAATAATAAGCATTAAAAATTACCTTACCTAGACAGGCAGCACGGGACAGACAGGCAGCACGAGGCAGACAGACAGCACGGGACAGACAGGCAGCACGAGGCAGACAGGCAGCACGAGGCAGACAGGCAGCACGCGGCAGACAGGCAGCACGCGGCAGACAGGCAGCACGCGGTAGACAGGAAGACGGCAGTTTTAAGTGTTTGTACAGAAGCTAAATCAACCATCAGCGTTCGGCGTGTAGGTGTGAGCTTCAGGCTGCGTTCAATTACAAAGTATACACACGTGTTTTAACGTTGTTTTCAGCTGACTGGCTCGCAGCATTCAAACTTCAAAATATAAGAAATAATAATCATAAAAATATCGTCTTATTTTCAGTTCGTTGAGTGAGAAAACAAAAATTTGAAATCGTGGCAGTCCAGCGTTGCATTGAGTGCGCACAGTAAAGTTTCAAGAAGCACGTCAGTTTCACGCACGCATTTTCAGCAGGATGCTCTCGAAAGTTCGACGACCGAGCCAGCAATTACGGTGAGATTTTTACTCACAACGATCGAAGCGGACGAAATCAGTTGAAAAATTTTACACAGCGGTCTTGTGCGTACTCAACGACCTGCTGCGCGCGTGCAGCGTTGGCAGAACCACTCACAATTAGAAGTTCGTGTACCAACTTCCGGTGTTATTTCGAGACCTGCAGCGACACTGCGGGCACTAGAACAGTGCCACGCAGCGTTAATGACGAAAGAAAAAGTCAATTTAGAGTGACAAGTGTATTGGAGGTTTCGGGAAAGGTGCCAGGCTACGAGTACAGCTCGCAAGACATTACCGTAGGATTTCCTGTCTCAGCTGCCGCAGCTTGAGTCGAAAACAAGGATTCTGATAATGAACATCCGGCTATAAAGTGTGACGCTCTCTGGCATGAGGAATGTGCGGGAAGAAGCTACAAGCAATAGATCAACAATAAAGTCATGAATTACTTGCACAATTTATCAAACGGAAATACGCTTCTCACTGAAGTCACTGGAGAGTGAAAATTTTCAACAAATTTTACCTCCCTTTATTGAAATGGAACATAATTCTCAAATACACATCGCAGAGACTAAATCATATGTGTATGTCCAATTATCAGTTAGTGTTATTAGTGCCTTACATAGAAGCCAATACAATATTTTACTTATGTTAGGTATGTATAGCAAATGTGTCCATATAGCATGGTAACTTTATCCTTCAAAATATTTGAGGGCACACTAAAGGTTTTCCTGAATTCTGGGTTTTAATTTAAAGGAGTCCAGAATTTAATGGTGCTTGAATAATAAAACTCAACAAGACTTCCGCGAAGACGGATCGCCGCCGTCACGTCAAGACCGTCAAAATTCGAAACCTAGCCCAATTAAATTCCAAGAAAGCAGACCGTACAAACGCGGTGGACTGCATGCTTTCCCCGGTTGATCATCGAAGCAGAACTATCGCTAGCCGATTCTTACGATAAATCTGCCTGGTATTAGAACCGCTTACTGCGTGGATTTCGTTTTGTGCTTGAGAATAACAAAACAATGTTTGGTAATTTTAATATTAAACACTAAATTCCTGCATTAGCATTGAATTTCCAGGTGGGATGCTGTGATACAAGATCAAACGAGCGATATACTTCATTTTTACTAACACAAAATACGTAGTTTGGCATAGATGTTAAACACAGTATGTACGGAACAAATTCCATTATTTGCAATAGGCATCACCATATAAATCCATCAGAGGTTATTAGATTATGACAGTTAATTAGGATAATTTGATTTACTAATGATGACTCACTGAAAGCAAGCGTGACCTGACGGGCATCCTGAAGGTGCGGTCTTCTGACGCCCCTTGTGGTGACAGAGGGCGGCGCCCTCCGCTTGTCAGGAGGACGCTTGAGACTGCTGGTGGTGCTTGTGGTACTCGTGGTTCTGGTGCGCGAGTGTACGCTGCCTACCATGCTTACCTGACGCACCATGTGCACGACTAAACGCAACGCAAGGTAGGATATTAGTTCGTACTTAAACGCACCACCACTTTTAAGACCAGCTGAATGTTTAAATAATGGAATAAAAACACTTTTTTCTTTGGTAGAGTACAATATCTCATTGAAATAAATGATAATGCCACTTTAACAACGTACTTGGTATCTCGAGATGCGAGTTGTACACTATAAGTAAGGCCGTGCTATACTTTTACACTTGAATTGAAGCCAAACATAGCACAAATGCTGGATTTCTCACCAACTACACATGTAGTTAAAGATTGAACACAGACTGTTGAAATAAATTTTCAAAATCCTAATGCACAAGTCAAAAGCAACCCAAAATTTTCAAATCCCGAAACAAGTTTTCACGAATTAAATGCAAACTCCTGAGAAATTAAAATAACCCTTCTCTAATCAAACAATCGTTTAGAGGGCGTAAATATGAACAATGCAATTGTTCAGATCAAAAGGGTTAGATATTCCTGCGAAACAAATAGAAAATGAGTTATACCAACAAAAAATGGGAGTAGTCAAATTTGGAGCGTTTTCATTTCATCATTAAAGTTGGACCGGGTCAAAATGTTCCCAAGGCTTTATGTGAACAAAACAAAAATAAGATGAATTTTTTACGTACTACCCAAGCAAGTTGGAACACAAGATATGGGTATTTGTTGCACTGACTCAAGACTTCATTAGTGGCAGAAGCCAAGGCTATGATATGCTAGCTCACAATGCAACGCAACTGCACCGCGGGGAACCGGTGTACGAGATCTACAGCAGCAGATACAGAGTGCATTAGTGCTGAGCTAAGTGCACTTATCTTGCCAGCCTAGGCAAGATGAGAGAGTGAAGCCTCGTACTGAAAGAAGCGAGCCTTTATGCTGCATATGCCAGGCCTTATTGTACAAGAAGTTAGGTCTTGTGCTGTGCTGAAGGGTGTGCGGTTCCTTCGCGCCGCCCAGTCAAGAGCGGTACCGTCCTATATGAATCTGCAACCGGTTGTCGACTTGGTGAACCCGGCTCTTCAAAACAACTTCCTACCACTAATAGTAATATTTAGAAACGTTAAATTCTGATTCAAGAGTGTGATCGAGATGTTTCGTAGGAAACGCTGACCATTTCAATAAGTTTTTGACAAGCATTAAATGAGCCATCAGCTCAAATGCAAGCAAATTCTTATATCAATGAACCAATCTACCGTTAATCTCTTTAATTTTCCAACTAATCGCGTAAGTGGTACGCGAATCAACGACAATCATAGATCTGTTCCGTTCAAGAGCACAGCGATGGCGTAGAATGTAACCAATGGACCGCGCATAATCTCAAACAACCTTGAACTTGTTGAAGTGAGCTCTAGGTTGAGCAAACAATGCACGTCTCAACCTCCCATAAACACTGATAGCACAAACTCAAAAGCAAGCTTGGCTTTGTCGGTAAATCCACGGCTCTACTCAATCCGCAAGGTCACTCTAACGCTTCATTCTAGTTCACGAAGGTGAAATAATAGCTCACTGACCATTTTAATGGTTTAAAAGCAATAAAATTAAAAAACAAGCCTATTTTTAGTTCTTAGATAATAATTGCCTAAATTGCTTGAAAAATACATTCGCAGGGCAAGTATCGAGACATAAATCATTGAAAACTACGTACCACAGAAGACAATAATTCGGCTGGGAATAACTAAAATGATTTAGTCATTACCAATTTAGAGCAGAGTACCCTTGCTGTGAGGAGCTTAGAACAGCGGTGTAAGACATATCAACGCTAAATCTTCAACCAAAATCAACACGCCATTTTAGCAATTCTGAATATGAGGTTACAAGAAAATTCGTTTTGTATTTTAATGGTGTGTTGCACCAAAAAAATACAAAACGAAAATCTGACACGCATTTCGTGTCAGATTTTTCAATTCAATAATACCAAGCTAGCGATTATTGCCACTTAAAAATGACTATTGCGGCAGTGCTATAAGACGTTAGCGTGATGCGAGGTCTTAATGCAGTTATTTCATCAGAGAACGAAACAATGCAAGCGACCGAGTGATATTAAGAACTATCTATGCAGCTCGACAGTAAAATAACAATCGAGAAATGGCGATATATTTCGCTAGGTACGACATTAAAACCTCCGTAGGATTATCATAATAATTCTCAATTAATTACTTCCATTAAGGTCATTAGGACGAGTCGTTTGTATACTAAAGGGAACAACGACTAATAAATAATTTAATTCGACAGGAAATACGTCAGTGATGGAGAGGAAATTATGAGAGTCCGTTGATGATACCTCATGATACGTTGATCTTACCTAATAAGTAAGGCAAATTCGTCAAATCGGATGAATTGAATTTAAATCGATAGTAAACAAATGGATTTAATTCAAATCGATAATGAACGAATGGATTTAATTTAAATCGATAGTAAGTACCGTATATCCTAGTAATGGTGGACATTTCACTGCTATTTGACAACAAATCTCTGGCCGAAAAGTAGTTCTGTTGCTCTGACGTCAGCGCGATGGGCGAAAGACGCGTGAGACGTGTTCAATCACGCGTCTAAAACGTGATGGAACAATGGGTACCGACAACCATGACTAAACACTGCATTAAAATTGCATACAATACGCACCTAAATATAGGTAACCGGTACGATCACGTTCATGCGTCCGTGCGAACGGTTAGGCATCGCCAGAACCCTACTGATTGTTAACAACAAATTTAGAACCATGCATAATTTCGAGCTAAATGTGATATAACCATGCACAGCACATTGGATAATAGAAATTTACACGAACTTCATTACTGTAACTTATACAATTCAACGTCAACGGCAATGCTAAGTAAGTTACAATTAAGATAAGTGAGTTATAAAAGAAATTATTTTAAAATAAAAATACAAGTGGTTAGCATGTCACCAAATGAAGAAATTGCGAACCTCTATAACTCACATCCCAGAACCTACAAACATCGAGACTCTACAGAGTAGAACTCTGACCTTCAGACCTGGGGTTAAGAACCTAGAACTGGAGGCGAGTCACTTATGCGGGCGAGAGAGTGTGTTAATAATATTATATAGGTATTATAATAGAGAACAGCACGCAAAGGTTCCATTTTGTTCTTGATCGTTCCCAAAAGCCGTTGTCATGCCTCGGGAAGGTGTTCTCTATGAGACTACTTCTAAATACAAATACCTGCATCGTATACTATTCTCTAAATAATAAATATAGACATATTCTTCAACATCAATAGTGTAGATAACGTGAAGAAAATCAAATATTACATTACATAATCAGATGAAACGAAGAGTAGTTTTACAGCCGTAGAACACCTCAATTGTTTCCAAAATTAACCTGCCTCATTAATAACACGTTTATTATAGAACACTAGTGCACATATATATGTCTGAAGGAAATTACGAAACAATTCGAGTCTCAGGCAAAGAAAATTTTAAATTCTCAGACTAAAACATTTTTCACTAATATTTTTCATTCATTTGGCAAAAATACTTTAGGTTTGGCGAAAATTTTTCGCCAAACCTTCGTTCATTTCCAGTAAATACGATGTTAAATACAATGACTAATATAAAAAAATGACCCGTTTTTACTCATCAGAACTTTCAATCATCTCTAGTCTGAACGCAAGTTTGGTTAATAAGACGATGCGCCTCGGGAGAGAAGCTCGGATCCGTATCTTGGATACACAGCAGGTAAACGCGCGAGCGGAAGCTGATAACATCGTCACCGGTCAAGATAAAAAGTCGACCACAACAAGTGTTCTGTACTCGGAGGCAAGGCTACGAAACAGCAGATATAAATATTTCTAATAGGTTCGCTTTAATTGAGTGGTGTAAGTAAGAGCAGTCACGTGGAAAAATTCAGTTGAAATGAGCATGAATACAATTCATCTCAAACTCTGAACACTGCGCCACAAATTTTGTGGTTAATAAAATCACAGATTTGTATACCTAAAACCGCCAAGTTAACTTGGCATTTTTCGAAAGTAGTTTGTAATAGATATAAGGTTAACAAGAAGTTGATATAAGAAGATTAACGTAGGTTAACCCAGCTTGGAAGATTAACGTAGGTTAACCCAGCGTGGGAGATTAACGTAGGTTAACCCAGCTTGTAAGCTTAATCCGGCGAGCAGGACACCGGTGTTGCTTGGTAGGTTTTGTTGATAGGTTAGACGAGTTTTTCTAAGGACCTATAAATCGCAAACTATGAAAAAATATTAGAGTAAAAATTTCAATTCGTACATACTTTCATTTACTATGACCGAGTTGATCATATCCAGATCATTATGACACGTTTAGTGTTGTGCATACGAGCTCGCCTAACTCCCAATACATTTCTGATAGAAGGCTTCATACGAGATTGCCAACTGTTATACATTTGAAAATACATATCGGATAAAAGGCCTTCAGTCAAAACTATCGGGAGCAAGAGGGACACGGTGATTGGCAAAGTATGAAGTAACGACAATACATGAATTGAATACATGAAGTGAAGGTAATATATGAAAGTTGAGGCAATAGATGAACTGAAGGCAACATAAGAAACGCAGCGTTATGAAACGTTTCCGAAGGTGTAAAAAAAATATGGCACCCATTAATTGCCCGCGTATGACCAACGGATGATCTCACGCAATGATAGCCGGGATCCACACAGCTTAGCTTGTGTCGGCACCACGGAGACGTCAAACACATCAACTCTGTGGTGATATCAACATCACATTCCCCACACCACACATCAATTCTGTTGATATCATCAACACTCCAACTTAACTCTGTGGTGAGAGGTGATATCAGCAACACATCAAACACACACTTGGTGGTGTAACAACCAAACAAGCAATACAACGAGCCGCGATGGAGCAGGTCCACGAACAAAGTGTCGCTACCCAATTACGGGAATTTATTCCGTATCAAAGTACCTGTTTTTACGTCGGTCTGTTCCACCAATACGCAAGATGCCTTCACAAGCAGTGTCGTGATGGGCATATAAAATAACATCTCCTGATATCCCTGATTGCTTCTGAATGCATGGATAGCATTTTAATGATGCATGATTAAATCGTCGTCGTAGCTCTTCAAATATCCATGATGGGTTCTGAATGCATGGATAGCATTTTAATGGTGCATAAGTAAATCGCCGCCTTAGCTCTTCAAATATCCATGATGGGTTCTGAATGCATGGATAGCATTTAGATGGTGCATAAGTA